AAAAAAAATAAAAATAAATACAGGTTCTCCTTCCACCTGTTCTGTGTATGGAACCACCATTCTTTCCATCTGCCAGCCTCCAAGAATGAGAATAATTTCAGTAACTCCTTTTGTCACGCAAATCCTTTCTTTCATGGAGATCTGGCTTGTTATTTTTCATAAAACTCAGTACATATTTGTGGAAGTCCTACTCTGTATTCCTTGTTGAAGAAACAAAGATAATGAGATGTGACCACTGGACTCAAGAAATTTCCAGTGAGTGGCAGGTAGAAAAACAGAAACTGATTGATGATGATGATGATGATGATGGTGATGGTCATGGTGACGCTGACAATGACAGTGGATGAAAAATCATAGCTAATGTTAAGATTATGGTTTGTACCAACCCCTGTGCTCAATACTCTATTGTTTTCTTTCACTTAACCCTAACTGTTCTCTGAAAAAGGTACTATATAATTATAATTGTTATTTTACTCACAGGGAAACGGGTAGTGAGGCAACACAACTTTCCCAAGACACTATACGTAGTAAGTGTATACACCAAACCACTAAGAGAAACCAGGGACAGTAGAAATCAATGCCTAACTCAAAAACCAAAGAAAGCTTGAAAAGCTGGTTTTCCACATCTGCTCTTTCCTTTGGATTTCTCTTTGATACCACCACATACCAGGCTCGTCCCATCTCCTCACTTAATTCAAAGGATCAACTCTTAGCAAGTCTCTGCACAAAACTCTTGAGGTGTTGCTTGTCTGTTGCCAGCAAGGGAGGCTTTTTGATGTATTGCTGCCATTCTGCCACTTGCTGCTCGGGAACCTACCCGCATCACCAATCAGGTCACATTAGGTCTTCTGTGCCTACTTTCAGAGGCCCCAGTAACCTCAGAGATGCCATTTTCATCTCCAAATCCATAGCATGGGCCTCCCCACTGTCTTTTGCACAAGTCCCATATTCTCTCCTACCCCTGCCCTCTCTAATTTCTGCCACCTCCCATGTCTGCATTTCTCCGTCAAGCCTTTCCTGGCAGCTCGACCACACTGGGATTTCGTCTTCTCCCAAACTCTCATAATACTTAGGCCTGATTGGTTTTACCAGCCATTGGGCCCTCACCATGGACAACCCAAGGTAATGTCAATGCTATCTTGCCCAACAAATAAATTAGCCAATAAGCACCAACAAAGCAGGTGTACCAAAATATTTTCTTTGGAAAGAATTTGTTTCAAAAAGTCATTCTGGGAAAAAAAATAGAATTCATTTGAAGGGTCTTATTTCTGGTTATCGTTTTTGTTTTGATACATGATCTTTATGTAGTGCTTAGAAGTAAAATTCTCAAGTCCATCTCTGTATATTGTTAGTTCTCATCCTAGAAGGTTCTTGGGTTAGGGGTGCCTGGCTACCTCAGTCAGTAGAACATGTGACTCTTGGCCTCTGGGTTGTAAGTTTGAGCCCCACATTGGGTGTAAAAATTACTTAAAAACAAAATCTCTAGTTACAAACAGAGAGGGAGGGAGGGAGGGAGGCAAACCATAAGAGACTCTTAAATACCGAGAACAAACCGAGGGTTGATGGTGGCGGGGGCGTGGTGGTGAAAATTGGTGATGGGCATTGAAGAGGGCACTTGTTGGGATGAGCATTAGGTGTTGTATGTAAGCGATGAATCATGGGAATCTACCCCCAAAACCAAGAGCACACTGTATACACTGTATGTTAGCCAACTTGAAAATAAATTATATTAAATAAATAAATAAATATAGCAAATAAATTTAATTAATTAATTAAATGAAGATTCTGGGTAAATGGACCGTGTCTTATATAATACTCATCTAATTGTGTTCCAGGTAGACACTTATTTAACATAGAATATATTTAGTAAATATACACATAATATATTCCTGAGATAACAAATTATGGTATTAAAATGCCACATTTCATTGAATATTTGATGTCATAGATTATAACATGTACTGTTATATACCACAAAAATAGAAAATAATGCCTCAAACTTAACCATGATGTGCCAGTGAATGTAAGTTGCATTTCAGTTTCAGAAGTGTTAAAAAGTGAATGAATACATGTGCATCTTAGATCTGATTAAATACGTACACTGTTGTTTTATAATATAATACATTGGTATTAAGCATCTTAAAGTTCCCAGTGATACTTATAACTCACATTTTCAAAAGTCATGCCGTGTACCTCTATATGCAAGTCACTGTGTCAGAAGACACAACATGTGCTTGAACAATGGTGAAGCTGTGACCCCTCCCTACTAAACGTTTACAGGCCAGTGGAGGGAACGTTATATAAACGAATCACTGTAATAATGAAGGCAAAAAGTGATCGGAGCCGTCCAAGAAGATAAGATTCCACAGAAATGAAAACAGTGGAGTAATTACCTTTACTTGGGGTTTAAAAAAAAAAAAAATCTCATGGCGGAGGTGGTGTGCAATGAGGTTTGAAGGATCAGTAGAATTTTGCAAGCCAGCTGGGAGAAATAATATGTGCAAAGGCATAGAAACAGGAAAAATGTAAGCCTGTTTAGAAAAGAGTGGAAAATCCAGATTGGCTGGGAGTAGGGGTGGCTAGAGAAGCTTCAGAGCTAATCTAGCAGAGCCACTCGTGCCATATTGTGGAAGGTCCCGAATGCTGAGCTGAGGACGTTAAAGGACATTGGCTGGCAATGCAGAACCACTTAAGGCTTCTTAACAAGGGCATGGCTTGTTGAGAGCTCCTTCTCATTCTGTGGATCTCAGTTTAAATGCTCCCTCTTCAAGGTCCATTCTTTACTCTTAAGTAGGGTCTTAACTGTAACTCCAAACTACCATATCCATCTGGTTTCCTTCAATGCACTTGGCACACGGCAAGTCTACCAACCGCATGGCAGATTCCAAGTTCCTTAAACACCGAGAAATCCAGAATACTCACTCTTTTGCAGTTAGGGCTGTCATTTTATAGGGTACACCCCATGTGGGTGTACCATTCCTTGCAGTTTCCTGGAGCCTGGCACACAGTAGGAATTCAGTGATTTCACTAAATAATACTCCCATCATTTCCTGTCCTCTGTTTGCCACGTTCCCTCTACCCGAAAGGCCCTCCCACCACATCTCACCATCGTTATTTTTCCATCTGCCACAGTTTCTCTCAAATGTCAGCGAATGCCTGCCAGCCCAGTGACACAACCTCGCAGTCCTGAGATTTTGTTTGTTCCTCTGATGGCATTATTTGTACCCTGCATAGTATTTTAGTGACTTGTAAACTCTCGTTGTCTCCGTGCCCTCCCCAGCCAGATGGCTAGCTCCCTGAGGCCGTGGACTTTGGCTTTCTCGTGTCTTTCTTACCAAATAATATTTGAGTTGAATTATGAACACTGTGTCAAAATTAAGAATAGAATCACCTGACCTTTCAGCAATGTATTCGATATTAAGGAATAATTAAATGATAAGAAATAATACTGAGTGAAAAGACATTACAGGACAATGAAAGTGGATTACCAAAAGGGTGAAACCATTCCACTATTGTGGAATTCAGTATCTCACAAAGTAATTTACCTGGGAGCAGACTTAGAGCATTTCCTGAAAATGTTGTGTCTGGATATAGGTGAATTATTCTAATAGTCACAGAGAAGTTGGTAAAAATCTGAACACTAGCTTTACTTTCTCAAAATTACACACCATTATTTTCACTAAGCAATGCTATTTTCTCAATTATATATTTTATTAAGATACTGCATATGTATTCATTGAAACTTTGATTATTTGATAGGCCTACAGGAAGAAAATTCCTTGATTTTTTTTTTCTGTTTAGTCGAAACTTTACCCATCAGAGAAGAAGTGCATTGCCATGTGGTATTTACCAACAGTAATAAATAACAACAGTAGCTTTTGGTTATTGAATAATCCCAGCATGCCCAGCATGTGATAAACTACTTACATGTTGTGCCATTTAAATGTCACTACAACCTTTTTATAGAGGAAAACACTGAAATTGGGTGGTTGTTAATTGATTGCTGGTTCAGCAGCTAGGCTGCAAACCAAGGCGTGGCAAGTCCCAAGACACTAGTCTTCCCAGGCGAGGGAACTCAATTCCCCCACCTCACTGCCTCGCACCCCCTCAGGACATGCTGTCTGCTGTCACTTTCAAGATACAACTTGGCTGTGAACAGGAGGCAACTTGCAGACTCAATCTGCAACTTTTTTGTTGTTGCAGGAAGAGAAGTTAAACTTCCAGAGAAACCCAATGGACAGTCTCCACAACAGGTAAACCATTTTCTTTTCCTTTTTATGCTTTGGAGGGAAAAGTCTGTACTTCCCATTTTCCATTAAATTTTCTATTACTTGGTCTTTCACTGCAGTTTTTATTACCTGACACACGAAAGCCAGTAGACAGAGCAATCCCTGAAGTCTGTTTCTTTCTGGCTTCGTTCAGGTTTTTTGGTAGAATTTTGTTATTTCCTTTCTAGTTGTGTGGGTCTGGGATGCAGTTCTAAAACATGTGAGATGAGCATGACCCAACTGAGTCTTGACACTGAAAGCTTTACGATATGAGGAACTGAAACAAGATGGCAGAACGTTGCCTTGTTTGAGCTTAGAGAGAAATGTGCACATCAGACCACTCCAATAACACTCAGCTCTTGTCCACAAATGACTGCAAAAGCACACTGAGTATTCATTTTGGGGTTGCAGATAAACTTTTGCAAGTTAGAGGATTTCACAAATACGAAATCCACAAATAATGAGGATCAATTATACCCATAAAGCACGAAGGTGAACACCAGGTACATAGGAAGCTCTGTGTAAGTTTGATATTTTTATCATCATCATCGTTGTTAAATGTTATTAAATATCCTGAGGGCATCGGGCACCTTTGAGAAGTCTTAGGTGTGAGGAATGATGTGATTCAAATGTGTGTCCTAAAAAGATCACATGGCTTCCATGTGGCGAATGTATCAGGTGGATGCAGGTGGCCGGAGGAACTGCAGTAATTCAAATAAGAAAGAGGTGATTTTGGGGAGCCTGGGTGGCTCAGTCAGTTAAGTATCTGACTCTTGATTTTGGCTCGGGTCATGATCTTGGGGTTCGTGGGTTCGAGTCCTGTGTCTGGCTCCGTACGGACAGTGTGGAGCCTGCTTGGGATTCCCTCTTCCTTTCTCTCTCTCTGCCCCTCCCCTGCTCACTTTCTCTGTGTCTCAAAGTAAATAAACTTAAAAAAAAAAGAGGTGATAATGTTGTAGGATGGGGGCAATGGCAGTGCACGAGGAGAGAAAAGGGTGGGTCTAAGACAGTATAAGGGATAGCATTCCTGCCTTCATGTTGCATTCACCCTGGAATGCGGTTCCAAACTCCACCAGCACCATTATCTGCTCACCTCTGCCCACAAGCTCTTTCTAATCTTCCTAAGATTACTCAGGTGCTCCTTATGTAACATCGTATGACGTCTTTCAATCTCATAACACTAGACTAGTCATCTGCTTGGATATTATTTACATATTTTTCCCTTGCTAGACTGTAAACTCTCTCCAGATCCCTGGAATTGAGTTCAGTAGTTGGCACATAATAGGTGCTCAGAAAATGTATGTTGCATGAATGGGTGGTGAGCCCTTTAGCAAAATGGCAGAGGTCTTCTGTCTCTTTGTGTCCTAATAACTAGCAGAGTGGCCCCCAGTTACATGCCTCGGGATTATTGAGGCCTTAGCACCATGTACAATCTTTTCAGTGCACACGCTGTTTTCACTATACTTCCAAGAAACATTGGGGATTCAATTCTGCATGTGCAGGGTCATCTATAAGTATGGGACCATCTGTTTTTTCTTATCCTCTGACCAGTTCATGCTTCTAGCCTTGAGTCCTGAGCACCTTTATAAAATGAGGTGATTGAGCGGGATGTTCTCTAAGATTCTTTGTGGTTTGGGCACTCTAGGATACTGGGATTTACTCAGAACTAGGTGATGCCAAGCACCTAGCCCTGAGCTATGCTTCATTATTGGGGCGCCTGGCTGGCTCCGTCAGTTAAGCATCCGACTCTTGATCTCAGCTCAAGATCTCAGGGTTGTGAGTTCAAGCCCCATGTTGGGTTTCACATTGAGCGTGAAGCCTATTTAAAAAATAAGTAAAAGAAAAAAGAAAGCTATCATTATTTGTAGCCTTACAAGACTGCGTTGTATAAACTTCTGTCCACATTGCCTCCTCTAAGGCTTCCTCATCCTTTCCAAAACTTGGCTTTTTCTAAATGCTTCAAGTTTCATGCAGACTTCTTCCACCTGCCAGATAAAGCTACTTACCAATTAAGAGGCATACCGTGTGTTGGAGATGCACCCTGATTCCTATGGCTTTCCAGGGAGGATTTGGTCAGAACAATGCTTGTTTGTATTCACAGTATCTAAAATTCAGTAGCATCCAGTGGTTAAAGAATATTTTCATGGATGATGACGGTGAACATGACAGCAGTCAACATTTAAGAACCTACTACTTGCCAGGCACACTTTGCCAGGCCTAGCACACGATCTAATCATGTGATCTTAATAGGAACCCTGCGAGATTAGGTGTTACTATTTCCCCCCACTTAGTGGTTGGCAAAACTGAGAAGTGAAATGACTTAGTCAGGGTCACCTGGCTTCTAAACAGGCCAATCCAGATTTTGATGCCAGGGCCCATCCCCTCATACATACATCCATTATGTACTGGATATTCAGTTTTTCCTCCTCTTCTCCTAGACCCCCTCTGTGATTTCATACATGTTCTGTGACTGGTTTCTGATAAAATGGCCAGAAAAATGAAAGTGATCATGTGCTAATGCCAAGGGCGTCTCTTAGGTTTCTAAGCAGATGCCCTACTAAAGATTGCATAGCTTCCTATGCAGCTTGGACCGAAGTCAATAGGGCAACCCGACAAACTGAGTCGAGATGAGTTTTGTCAGATGATACTGTTACCATGGTGGTGAAGGGTATGACAGAAGGGGGTCCACTGATCCCCGTGGAAAAGACAGAGAACTGCACGTGTTAAGTAAAAATACATCATCTTCATTTCAGATTTTAAAGATCTTCCCAAAGAAACTATATTTCTGTTGTCTAAAGATTCTCCAAAACGTGCTGTTCATGTTCCCAGATGGGTCCCCACGGCCAGCTCACACATGGGCGGCCATGGGGTCTAGGTAGAGCACAAAGATAGCCAGGAGGAGCAGCCAAAATGGACAGGCCCAGCAGCATCATATCTAACCCCGGGGAGGAAGGGTAACTGCACACCTCACATGCGTCTTCCTCCGCAGCCACGTCCACAGAATCACTATCTGAGCATACTAGAAGGGAGCGAGGCCGACTCTCCGACCTGGGGTTCCGACGGGCAGTCATTGTGTCAACAGTGCTCTCTGTAGAACTGTGGGAGCCTTTTGACTCCACCATGATCTACCCAGATGACAGCACAAACCTCATGTCCCGCCAGAGCTAGAAGAGGCCCTGGCATGTATGGTGGTGCCATGGCCACCAAGACTATCACTATCTGAAATATTTACCACATCACCTACTCCCTAACTTTGCCTCATGGCAAAGCATCTACGCTATTTGTGCCCTAATTTTCGTTTCAGAGGGCTTTCCCACACCAAGTCCCTTCCTCCAATTTAAATTAAATGACCGACGTATACTGCCATCTGGTGGTCATAGAAGCAAGCACACCTACCAAATTCTGTCAGAGCCCAGATCAAGAGGATCCAGTTCCCTCTTGCAAAAAGTTACGGGATCCCAAACTGCTGCTTGTTGTGTAATCCAGTGGACTCAGAAATCAACAGGACCCACCAAGACAGATTCCAGAAAATATTAATATTAGTGAAAACTAGAACAACAGCATTAACAGCTACATCGTACCATTTTCTAACTTAGATCCATTTACTTATCTGTAAAACAGCAGTTCGCACCTTAAAGGGTTGCTGTAAAGTTAAACACAAAAGTTCCCAAAAACAGTATTTGATGAGTAGAGAACACCCAAATGCGATCTACTTATTCTGAGTGTCAGTGACTACTGGTAGTCCCCCAGACACCATAGTAAATGCCTTACAAACTCCTAGCTCATTCCATTTTCAGAACAATCTTTTTTTTTTTTTTTTTTTTTTTTTTTTTTTTTTTTTTTTTTTAATTTTTTTTTTAAACGTTTATTTATTTTTGGGACAGAGAGAGACAGAGCATGAACGGGGGAGGGGCAGAGAGAGAGGGAGACACAGAATCGGAAACAGGCTCCAGGCTCTGAGCCATCGGCCCAGAGCCTGACGCGGGGCTCGAACTCACGGACCGCGAGATCGTGACCTGGCTGAAGTCGGACGCTTAACCGACTGCGCCACCCAGGCGCCCCCAGAACAATCTTAACAAGCAGAAACAGCTATCGTTCCCATTTCACAGATTAGACAACTGAAGCTCGTAGATGCTAAGGAATCTGCCCGGAGGTGACAAAACTAGTAAGTGGCAGAGGTAGATGGAAACCCACAGCTCTGACCCTAGATTACTCCTTTTACCACGATGCTGAAATGCTGGTGCGGTGTGGTGAACCTTCCCGAATGTTTGCATACATCCCACCCCACCCCACACGTATAGTCCCCCCTCCCCCCCACCACACACACATTCAAGACTATAAGTTCTTCCGGGGAGCACCTGGAATGCCATTATTTCCCCAGAACCTGGTACAGTGCCTGATACAACACCATGGATTCAATGGAGAGTCGTATCAGTGGAGACACTATGTGATGACTGTGACCATTCATAAAACATCTGTCTTAAGGACAGCAGATTAACGACGACATCTGAAAAGAAAAACATGATATTAGATTTTGAATAGAAGAAAAGGTCATAGAAATGTTTTTAAATCGATTGGGGTGCCTGGGTGGCTCAGTCGGTTAAGCGTCTGACTTCGGCTCAGGTCATGATCTCATAGTTTCTGGGTTTGAGCCCCACGTCAGCCTCTGTGCTGACAGCTCAGAGCCTGGAGCCTGTTTCAGATTCTGTGTCTCCCTCTCTCGTGTGCCCTCCCCCACTTGTGCTCTCTCTCTCTCTCTCTCTCTCTCTCAAATAAATAACTGTTAAAAAATTTTTAATAAAAGAAGTGTTATTAAGATCAAAAAGATTGTGATATGCAAGTATATGGACCACAAGAACAGAAAAATGGAGTGACATTCTCACTGTTGTAAAAGTCTTTTGTTTCTCCACATATAATACAGACACCGAGGACCCTGTGACTCCAGCAGCAGTAAAGTAATGGGACAGGGAACGGAAGCACCACAG